TTTCCAAACTGTAGAATATAAAAAGTAAAAATTAAAAATGAAAAAACAAAAAAACCAAAAAGACGAATTCAGTTAATAATAATCTTCGCATACTATCGCTGCTGATTTGGATGCATCATTTTTGGCGGGTCGTCGTCGGTCGTGTGGCACTTGTTGGTTTTCGCCCCGTGGCGTAAGGCACGCGGTGTTGGTCAATAAAATACTCATAAAATAGGGCGACAGCTGATAAAGGTGGCACGAGTCGCGGGACTATGTTAAATACCCTCCCGCCAAGCTGTCGGCCTATTCAATAACGGCCGGGAAGGTAACCGCGTATCGCAATGAAGGTCGTAAATCTTACGTTGTTTATTGGGTGTTTTAAGGGGTGAGTGTGTGTATTCCAATTCTATGGATTTCGCCGTTGCTGATTTGGATGCTGTTACCGCTACTGTGTTGTAACTGCTGTTACTGCTGTTTAAAACGATGCTCCTCCACGTTTGATGCTAAGGGTGGTGGTGTCAGCCTTTGCACTCGAGCTGGCACTAGTAAAGTCAGTGTGTAGTTGGCTCGCGTTTTGTGGTCGGGTAGTAATATGATGTGTGTTCGATGAGCGTTACCGTATCATTAAAGCCGCAGCACAGTTTTTCACTATCTGTGATAATAATTCGCGCGTGTGTGGGTCGCCGGCCATGATTAATGTTAATCGAGTTTATACAGGTTGTAAAAACTCGATGGGGTTTTGTAGTAGTTTCCTTAAACAGTCCTTGTAGAAAACAAATTTAGACGTGCAAATTAACTTCATAAAGTAACTTTTAAGACATGATCAGTAACGTGATGCTTGTAAAAAAACCAAGTATTTATCTTTATAAGTACTTATAAAGATTTACATTCATTCGAAAAAATAAGTTGTTAACTAGCAGTGCTGAAAAATTATTCAATGTAGGACTCAAATAACCCAATGTTAACACAGGTTACTAAAATAATTTACTAGAAAGTCATATAGAAAATAGTGAAACAGAAAACTATATAAATCATAGTCAAGATAAAATTGTCTGAATAAAATATTTCAAATATTTTGAAAAACTTTCAGAACTTCAAAATAATTACAATTGGGCTGAAGTACTTTTGTAGAATATGACAAAGTACAAAAGTTATTTTATGAAAATAATGACTTGGTTATAATTTTGAATTTTTCTTATAGGGCTATTATCAATTTATAATTAAGTATAAGACGAAAAAACAATAAAAAAATAGTTAAAATGATAAATTAATAAATAAGAACATCAAGTAATAACTTCAATGCAAATAAATTATTTTGTAAAATGTGATTTCTTATTTTTAAATTGAACACATTTAGATTAAATTTATTTCAGTAAAATTTTTTTATTATTTTGACTATATCAAATATTAAGACATTAATTTATTTAAGTTTCATTGTATTTTTTAGTCAACAAAAATAGTTTAAAACAAGTGTAGTAATTATTAGCTCATTTATATTTTAATTTTTTAATCAAATATCTGTAATCAAATATTTATCATGTAAATTTTTCTAATTTGAGTAATAAATTACTAAAAGATTCTATAACTATATTTTTAGTAAACGTTTTTATAATAGAGATAGGTGTGACTAGTTAATATCTTTAAGCATTCATAAAATCTCTTAGGTAAATTATTCGCCATAAAAACTTGATGTTAGGTNGCTTAAACATTAGAATGCTTATTCATAAAATCTCTTAGGTAAATTATTCGCCATAAAAACTTGATGTTAGGTAAAAATACTACTTGATTTATAGAGTCTAATTCGAAAAATTCTCATTAATTAATATTAATTGTATTTAGAAATATAAATTAATTAAAAAAAATCAAAGTTTATTTTTAGTAACAGAGCAACTTCAATTAATTATTTATATATAAAATGTTTTATACAAATAACAATAAAATCAACTTTCCCCATTTGATTTTTCTTGTATTATGCATTATGGGTAAATTTTCCAACCTCTTCAAATTGCAAAAATGATTAATACCCATTTGGTCTATAGTCAATTTTTACCACAGTTGGGCACTGTTCGTATTGCATACTGTACTAATATGCTCACTAAGCAACACACACCCACTGATTGTATCAAATACACTGATTGTATCAAAATAGTGTAATGGATGAACGATCAATCGAATAAAAAAAATGATAAAAACCAAATTGTTTGTAATTTTTTTTTTTATCATATTATTAAGTTAAAATAATAGTTTTTAATTTTAAATGCATGAAAACAAAAATTATTTAAGCATCTATTATTGTAGAATTATTTGAAACCAATAATTTTTATCATTACATAATATTAAATTTTCAATGGTTTCTGAAAAAATGAATGCCTTACTTAAATTCAATCTTCCTGTACACATAGAAAAGATTGGGCGAATAGCGCCTACCTAAGGAAAATTCGCAATAAAAAGTAAACATATACTAATTAAAAATTGAATATCTTAAGAGAGAGATAAAATTGTCCATAGCAAATTTTTCTATTAATTATTTATCAAAAATTGAAGGATTGGGAAAAATTTAATATTTAGTAAAAATTAATGTTTTGCTGTATTAAACATACGTGTTGGGAACCTCGCCCTTGGGTATCATACCAAGATAGATTAATAATATTTTTATACATTTTAAAATCAAATTATCATATTATAATTTAACAAATATAATAAAATTCTTGAAAAATAATATGAACATTAGACAATATTTAATGGGTGGTTATAACCAAATCACTTTCTGGTATTTATACAATTTATCATAAATTGAATTCAAACGTTTGTAAACGGCATTACTTATTGGATGCTTTACTCATTGGGCGAATTACTTATCAGAGGTGTTTGTCAAATTCCAATTTATAATTATAAATTGAAATCTAACAGTGATGAGTATCATAATCTAACACGACCCGCGTCGCTTCGTTATACACGATGCCCCGCGACTCGTGATACCTTTTTCATCCGTCGCCCTATTTTATGAGTATTTGACTGACCAACACCGCGTGTCATTCGCTACGGTGCAAAGTCCAACAAGTGTCCCACGACCAAAGACGACCCGCCAAAAATGATACGCTGAGTCTTCTTCCCGATGTGAAAGCAACAACGTCGACCGATTGATCCGCACCCACACAAGGTCACCATCAACGCTGCTAACCTTTTGACGCCCGAGGATCACGCCGGACATCGGGTCATCGACGCCAGCGAAAGTGCCGCGATATTATGCGAAAACTATTATTATTGTGTTCATCTTTTCGATTTGTTTTATTTTTTTGTTAAAATAACCTGTTGTTGCTCAGTAATAAATAGCCCACGGGTCTTTTCCCTCAAAACCAATGTCGACCACATTTTTGCGATATAAGTCGTGTCAAATCATAAAACGTTTTTATCGAATTGTTCTTAAATAAAGTTCGATTATTTAGACATTCTTTTTGGTTGGTTAAAATAAAAAAAATATTGATAAGTTTTTTTGGTTTCTTTTAATTGTATAATTATTTTGTTATACTGAGTGATTTTTTTATCATAACCCACTCAATTACTTACAGAATAATAATAAATTAAACATTTTTTTTTTTTTTTTGGGATATCTTTAGTTATACATTATTCCTGAATAATTAACTATGTAATACTATTTAAGTTCATTCCTTATGCCTTGTAAGGGGGTCAACATTGTTTTTTTTAAATGTAAACACATATTTTGAATTTAATAAAATCTTTGAGATTTTAATTTATTAATAAATGGCATTTGAATTTTTGGTATAACTTTATATGTTTATTAGATATAAACAAATTTTTAAGTTATTATACATGTATAATACACAAGGGATTACAAATACAGGTAGCTAATAGATTTGTTATGAAATCAATATTCACAGGTACACAGCATTGTTATTATCAATGGTAGTAAGGCACATTGTTGTGAGTTCATAATTACACTAACTGACTATATAAAAAGTATATCTAATGATAGTCATAATTGATAATAAATAATCCGTGACTGTGACAGCGATGTCATAAAAACCAATTAGCTACTTATATTTGTAATACCTTGTGTATTATACCTGAATATTAACTCAACAATTTGAAACTTTAAATGTTTATATCTAATAAACAAATAAAGTTTTAGTAAAAATTCAAATGCCATTTACAATTGAATTAAAAAATCAAACATTTTACTAAATTAAAAATATGTGTTTCCATCTAAAAAAACAAAGTTGACGCCCTTACAAGGCATAAGGGATGAACTTAAAAATATTACATAGTTAATAATTCAAGAATTATGTGTAACTATTGATAACCAAAAAAAAAATAAATGTATAAATATATTTATTCTGTAAATAATTGAGTGAGTTATCATAAAAAAATCACCTGTATATTATGAATTTACCAATCATGAATAATTTTTTTATGCTCATCTCTTATTATTAACACGTGCCCTTCTTTTTGAGGTTTACAAGCTATGGAATTGAAAATAAACAAAATTCGGGAAAGTTAACCTAGTCAAAAACCTATCTGACCGTATTTAATTGGCCAACAAAATAAGGTAATTGTTTGGATATTTTTGTGTGTTGCACTGTGACAGGACATTTCTAAGTTTTTTATAATCTATACAATGAATGGCATCAATTCATTTTATTAAAAGTTGAAAAGATAGACTATCTAATTTATTATTATTATTATTATTATTATAATTAAATCTTATTATTTTCAAATATCATTATTCTAAGAATCTTATATTTAAATTCATTATGTAATATTTTTAAAAGAAGTAACAATTATTTTAATAAGTTGATAATGTAGTTTCAGAATGATAAATTTTTCTTGAATTTACAGTGCTGAATTAATGGCGTATAAAATTATAGTTATTAATACTGATTACGACTCTATTTACGAAAAAATTATTGAATTAATTATTACAGTTGTCGTCAATAGTGTCATCAGTAACCAAAATAAAACATCTGAACCGTTTAAATTAAGCTCAATTTCCTATAAAACAAGCTTTATATTGACTTCATTAAGTACTTTAAATTGTTTCTAATTGAATAAATCCATATAATTTTTTCCAAAAATATTATAACTTCCATTAAAAGAATTTTTATAAGCTTCAAATATGTTTAAAAATAAAATTGTTTTATTACTCTTCGTTATTTATATTACAATTGCATTTGCAGGTAATTTTTTTTTTTTATTATTTTTCTCATAAAATAATTGATATTTAAACGTTTTATTACTGTCATGGGTTTTGATATTTCCAAATATTTTAGTGTTAAAATAAAAATTATTCATATAAAAAAAATTTGAGTTGGTGATAATTTTGTGATCAGAAAAAATAAATTTAAAGCAGTTTTAGTAATTTCAGTTTAAATTAAAGTTTACTTTTTAATTAACGTTAATTGATACTTCAATGTTTTAATAAATTAACACATTATGAATATTTTTCTTATAATTTAACTTCTCATTCTTATACAAAATGTTTCCACTTTATCTACAGCTTATCTCATATTTTAATTAGGAAGTTATTAAGGATATTTCACATCCTTAAGAACTTCTGATTTATTAAATATTTTGCATTACTTTTTTCTTAACATAATTTTTACAATTTTGGACTATCCTAAAAGAATTTTAGTTTCAATGCGTAGCTGAGAAACTATTGGTTTTACTTTGACGTGTTTCTTTTTCTGCTCGGTACGCCATTACACTAACTCCTACTGGACCGATTTTGCTCAACGACACGTTAAAAATCACAAAACGTCTATTAATAGCTTATACGCCAATATTTTAAAAATTTACCCTCAGTCCCGATAGTAGATATTTCTAAAAAAATACAGTTGTCATTAAACAATCATTGTTGATGTTTTTAGTTTTTTCTTTATATTGAAATAACATTTAGAAAACTGAAATACTTTCGATGATAAATCAAACATTTGCATTACTGACAACACACGTGAAAAAACCTTCTTTCCTTAAATAATTAAAATTCTAAATTAAATTAAAAATAATTCAATATATTTTAAGATAAAAAAGGTAACAAATGTTTGGATCAGTACTTATTAGTATTATTACTTATTAGAGAAAAGACTTGGTACTTCTTATTACTTTGGCGTAAAAAATCTTTAATATAGGTTGGTTGATATAATTAAATGTATGTTATATATTATATGTATCTATGATTGCTACTATAATTACATTATTATGACTTAATTTTGAATAAATTAAAAAAAAATTATTTATTTTTGTATGTTTTATTAGACTATCAATTATATCCCAGCAAAATTTACACTTAACCTGCCCACTAGGGGGATTTAAAATAACGACTTTTTTACAAAAACTAACTTTTTCAACTTAATTTTTGAAAATGTTCCGGAATTATTGCGTCGTTTAAACATATATAAAATTAAAGCGTATGTCATGTACTATAAAATGAAAAAAAAAAAATTTTTCCGACCAATTATCTTCTATGCGCAAATACCTGCCGTAGTTAAAAATTATGCAATTTTGGTGTTAAAATTTTTGATTTTAAATTTTCAACTTTAAATTGCTATAAATTGACCATTTCACTTTATACGAGGGGGTTTAAAACTTGAAACATATGTATAAAAAGTAGAACTTTTTTAACTTAACTTTTGAAAATGTTCCGGAAGTATTCACAGTTTTATTTAATCTTAAATTAAAGCTTATTATATACTTTACTATGAAAAAAAAAATCAAAAATGTATTTTCAAATTTGAACTAGCTTAAATTGCTAATTTTATTATGCGAAGAAAGCGACGAACAGTAGCCGAATCGTAACACTAGTGTAAATCTCGCTTTCGGTAAGAGGTTCGAAACCGCCTGTGGCAATTAATATTTTATATTTTTTATAAGTTCGAAAAAATATTCAAATCATTTGATTTTTATCTCATTTAGATTCAATAACTTCAATAAATATCAAGAATCTCATCACTATAGTCTACCCTCCCGAGAAGAAATTTCTTATTCATATTAATATTATTTTACTATGTGATTTTTTTGTGGCCACGATTTATTTTTCCAACATTACTTAACCTCCTTTTTTCAACGATACGTCAAATACTTACAATTCGTTTAGTTTAATTTAAATTAAAGTTTAGTTTAAGATATGACCCATAAAAATTGAAAAAAAAATCCCTTAATCAAATAAAAAGTAACTTAACCAGCTTTATCCATATAAACAATTAAAATCATTCATTTATATTTTTAAATTATATATTGTCGAATTAGATTTGAGATGATAAAAGTATTAAACTACAAAAGTAAATAATTTTACTTTTTAATTTATTAATTTTTAACTATATTTGTGAATGACCAGATTTAACATTCCAAATTTTTTCGTAACATGTTGTTATATAAATCATAAATATAAAAAACACAGCACAGTGGTGATGTGGCATAGTTGGATCAAGTATATTGATATTTGACAGTGATTAAACTCACTATAAAAAAAACGCTTCAATGCAAATCTTTAGACAGTGTTTAATTTTAAAAAATTGGTGTATTATTCCAAAAGCTACATGATCTGCTAGTTCCTTATTAATATCCTGATTAAGATAAAGTATGTCGAATGATAAAGAGGTTATTAAAAATTATTATTTTTCATAAAAAAATTGTATTGATCCATACATTTTTTAAAAAGTTATAGCATTATAAAATTAAAAATGTAAAAAATAAAATCAAGAATTTTCACACAAAAATAGAATTTGGTAGCCAATTTTTACCACGAAGACAAGTTCAGAGGTCAAATTTTTTTTTTCATAATATAGTATATTACATTATCTTTAATTTAAGATATATATAAAAATATCAGACTTTCCGGAATATTTTCAAAAGTCAAGTTGAAAAAGTAAATTTTTTGTGAAAAAGTTGTAATTTTAAATCCCCCCCTGTGGGCTGATAAAGGGTTAGATTTATAAAAAATATATGCAAAATGATAGGTAAAGACATCAAGTATCTATAAAAAAAAAAATTATATTGATATGTTCATTTTTAAAAAAGTTATGGCAGTTTTTAGTAAAAAAAATTAAAAAATTAGCGATTTTTAAATTTGTAATTTTTTGGGAGGTTTTCCCTATTTACGGGGAACGAGGAAAATTTTTTTAATTTTTGAGGGTAATGTCTACGACTAAATACGATTTGTGATCTTTTGACGTATCGATGAAAGAAATCCGTTCGTTGAGAGCTGAGAAAAAATTGTAACAGACACAAAAAAAAAAATACATCATAGTAAAACCAATACCTTATAAGCTTCGAATCGAAGCTAAAAAAAATTTTTTTTAGTTCCACCAGAATTTAACAATAGATGAAATAAAAATTTACTGTAAATAGTAGTTATAAAATTTCCCGACTGCATATTAATCTTAACAGTACCATTTTTTTCTAATTAATGATTACAATTTCATCTTGTAAGTTGAGCTAAAAGTTATAGTAATTTTTTTTTTTTTTTATTAAAACTTTCACTTTAAAGGATAAAAAAAGTAGGTTAAAAATGATTACTTTTAACATATTAAAAATCAAAATCAATAATTATTGAAATCAATTAATTATAATATACTTTGTTTTTTTTAATTGATTGGGTTATGATAAAAAAATTACATGTATACTTATACAATTTATAGTCCATATTAAAGAGCGTATCCATAATAGAGTAAATATACAGTTTTAAATGAATTGGTAAATCTAAATCCAAGGGAACATATTAGAATTATATGGAATTTCTTAGTAGGTTTTTGGAAAAATATCTGGTCTGATATTAGTTTGAAAAAAAAATTTTGAGATAAGGCCAACTTCATCCGATATTTTATATACACGATAGCTCAAAGTGAAATAGTATCAATAATAAATTTACAAAAAAAAATCGTTTTACAGATTAAATATATAACAAAAATTATCTTAAATCAATTGAAATTAATTCCCTGGATTATTGTCTTTGGATTTAAATCAATTTTAGTGATTTCAGCTACACATTTCAATTAAATTCATTTTTAATCTATTTCTACGCTCTGACACACATACACCTATACCTATTATATTATAGTATTATATTATGGTATTGAAGTGATACTTTAGTATCTCTTGAAATTCTACCTATAATCACATTTGGTACTCGGTAGACGAAGTAAAATTTACTAAACTCAAGAATATGATACAAACATTTAAACTCCATTGAGTATTTGTAATAGTGACAACAAATTGAGTCTACAGTTTGTTTTTAGACTTTATGTTTGAGTATTTTGAGTCAAATTTAAAAGTATTATTACAAATATTTAAAATGAAAACGATAATAGTGATGCATCAATAATATTTTGTATTAAACAAAAACAAATTTAAAAAGTTAGTTTTAAGAGTAAAAAAACCCATCACAGTGGGGTTGTGACATAGTGGAGACGTTGAATAGTTGGGTCCATTATAGATTTAATCTGACGGTGATTAAAATCACTATCATAAGAAACGCTTCGATGCAAATCTGTAGATAGTGTTTAATTTTAAAAAATTGATGGATAATTACAAAAGCAACATAAACTTCTATTTCCTTAATTATACCCAGATTAGTAATTCTTTTAGTTATATATTATATAATTTTTAAAATTAATTGTTTTCAAATTATTATTAATTTTGATTTTTACAATGTTGAAAGTAATCATTTTAAACCTACTTTTTATTGTCCGTTAAAGTGAAAGTTTTAATATAAAAAAAAAATTTATTTATTATCATAACATATAGCTCAACAACGCAAGTTTGAAATTGACAAAATTAAATAGAAAAAAATGAAATTGTTAAGATTAATAAGCAATCAGGGAATTTTATAATTACTATTTACAGTAAATTTATCAGAAAAGTTAGATTTTTTTTACATTTTTATCATAATAGATCACTTACATAAATATCATAGTAATCATTTCTAATTAATTTTGGGTGTTTAAAAAGATTCTACAATGGAAATATTCAGAAATTAATTAATTTTTATGATTATAAATCTAAAAAAAAAGTTTTTAGAAACTCAATTGAGCGTATTATAAAATTTGATTATAATTGTAAAAATCCATCGTTAAATTCAAGTGACACTAAAAATCATGTTTTTTTAGAAATTATTTATATAGCAACATGTTACCAACAAATTTGGAATATTATAGTCTAGTAGTAGCACATACAAATAGAT